TACAGTCCCTGTTGTTTTTACATTTTAAAATTTAGGAAAGAAATCAGATGATCTCAAAGGTTTTATTTAACACATTATATGAAGGGAGGGTTTGCATATTTATAAAGAAGGATCTGGCTAGTCTGTATTAGCTGTGCTCCGTCCTTTTGCTTATCCAAGGATCACACCAACCTAGTTTAAAAGTTGAGAAACTCAGTTGTGAGGTATTTCCCTGTTTGATAAGGGAGAATAAGAAGAAAAGTCTGTGGTGTTATTTGGGAGAAAAGAGAAGGGAAGGGAAAGGAAAAAGGAGAGGCAGAGCAAAATAAAGAAAACAAAAGAAAATGCTGTGAATTTACTGCAACATTAATAAGAAATGAAACCTTAGCTTTGCCTTTCACAGATAGTTTGATCATTCCCAGCACAAACACACATGCAAACTTTGCATGTTTTACTTACAGTTACTTTGTGTGCTTTAAAAAGCTTGTACAAAACATGAATCGGGTTTTAATTTTGCTGGGGAGATGTCCTTTAATTGTAGCTTGCTTGCTTTTTTTCCTTAAGTCATTAAGTAAAAATTATCTAGTGTTGTTGGACTGGGTCCATATGAAGCCAGGCTGCTTGACCGACCTACTGTGCGCCCCTCAGTCCTAATCCTGATTACATTTGCCTTAGCTGATCTCTCTGAAGCCAGCCCACTTCGATGTCCTTAGATGCTTGCATACTTCAGTGTTTAAAAAAAAAAACAAAACACCAAAACCAACAAAACAGTAAAGTCCTGTTGCCCTGGCTGTTCTGTTTCCAGTAAACTTCAAATATGAGAAGAGGCAAAACTAAATAAGAATCATTTTTGTCAGTCTTTTGTTTTGCGACCAAGTAAGTTAATGACAATTCAGAGACTGCTGATATATTCCCCTACTGCTGCTATTTTGATCAGCTACCAGTTGAAATTCTTACAGGCAGTGAGCAGTTTTGGAATGAATAAGTTTTTGTTGTGAGAGGAAGTGTCTTTGTAACTGTAAAAATAGCAATCCTCTGACATCCCAGAACTGTTGAGTTACCTTTTGCCTTGAAACTAAGTGATAGCCTGTTGTTGAGGGTGAAAAAGAAATGTTTGCGCTCCCCAAGGAAGTGTGAGCAGTGTAGTCTCCGAGGAGCAGGGACCTATTGCCTGTGTGGTCCCACAGCATCTTTCATCGCCAATAGAACTAGCTGTCAGGGGGAGCTACTGCGGTATGAAGCAGTAATAGTAATAACGGTGATACTGGTGCCAGCCTTGGGTGTAACAGGGCAGATCCCCAGCTAGGAAAAGCGAGTGTAGCTCTCGGGGCGCAGCAGGGAGGATTTAATGCGCTGCCTCTAGGGTTGCTGTGGTGAGCACAGGGAACGGGCAGTCTTTTCAGTGTGCTTTTTGGTCCTGTGCTCTGCAGCTGGAGTTTTTGTCAGGGTCAAAGTGCAGGATAGGTCCGCAGCTCATTCCAACAAGAAACACTGTCCGCTGGCTACCTCCTCCCATCTTTCTGGAAGAAACAGATTATGACTCCCTTCTCTTGAGTTGTGCTAAAGAAGGGAGAGAGGCTTTTTGTATCTCTTCCTTTACCACTGTTGGCAGATACTGATAGAGAAGTAGGGAAAAAAAGCATATAACTGAGATGAAAACAAATGGTTTGTTCCATTGTTTGTATAGTCCTTTTTATACTGACATTTAGATAACACTGCATGTCTGACAACAGGCCAGCCCTAACAATCACCCATTAGGAGTCATTGCCTTGGCCTGCAATAAACAATTTCTGAGGCATTCTCCTCGCCTGTCCTTTTAGGTTAGCTCAATGGGCACTTCATCTACTAAAACTTTTCTGCTTCTACACAACAAACTTAGCTTTAAAGACACTCTGATGGCAACTTGCAAAAGTCTTTTGACCTGTTGACTGCTCGGATTCCAGTTATTGCTATGATGTGCTGCTTTTATATCTCTGAAATAACTTGATGGTTCCTTTAGTTATGTTGACAAGAAGAGCTCTAGGCCCTTCGTATTAGTCCCTCTTTACTCTGAAACAGGGCCTGTGGTTTTAGTCATGATTCATCCCAGTAGGCTGTACTGCTTTCTGCCTTGATTATAGCCATTTTAACAGTAGCTAGAGGGAGAGAGAGATGCTTCTCCTACAATTAGGGAGCTCAGGCAAAATTACATTATCATCCTTTATCAAGGGTTTTGGTTTGACAAAACGAAGAGCAGATGTAGGAGATTTAAACTGCATTCTCTGTTGCAATAAAAAAAAAGAAAAAAGCTTTTGAGAAATTCAGGCAAGGTATGTTAAAGCAAAAGGAGTAGAATAAATGATGTAGTCCTGTACTGAAACTGTAATTTAACATTTTAATAAACCAAATGGTAAGTTAGGACATACATATCTGCTGCACCACAGTGTAGGAAGGACATGAAAAGGAGACAAAATATGAGACCCCTCAGTGGTAGTTCCTTACAACTTAATCCTCATCTATCAAAATTTGAATGTAAAATGTCCCTGGTGACTGAAGGGAATTTGTGAAATAAAGTGGAAGCTTATAAAATTGTATAAGCTGTAGCTAGCATAGGAGTCTAAATAGTGAGACAAATTTCAGAGGGAACTCAAAGGAACAGAGAGGATAAAGCTGCTTGATACTGGGTTAGCCTTTATAAACTGCGCCTGGGCGCATTCCATGATGGAAGCTGTAATAGAATCAGTTTCTTCTCATAGGTTGAATGTGTCTTGAATCATATTTTAAAACCCCACAGATTCTTTGCAAACACAGAAACTGGAAAATACATTTTAATTAAGTTAAGGACAGTCTTAGAGTCCCTTGCTAAACTTAAAAATCTGTAAGCCTTGTGTGATATCCTCTCTGAATCCTTGGGGAACAAAAGTTTTACCATTGTGATGAGCGTATGTTTTTTAATTAAAATCAAACATAAAGCAAATCTGCATAACACACACTAAAAGACAGCAAAGATGGCCTTTAATGTTGAAGATACTTTTGGAAAAAAGATACAGAAATTTTTGCCTAACAAGATTGAACAGCCTGGATTGTGAATCAGTGATCTCATTTCCAGAACTAATAGCAAGAACCGAGTGACTGAGGATATAACTGATTTTTTTAAACAAGGTCGAGAATTGTGTGGAATCAGTGGTCTACTCAAGAAATCGACAAAGCATAGAAGTATCTATTTATGAGTGAATTACAGAAATGCCTGTTTTTTTAATTGCACATGCCTGACTCTCATTTGTATAAAGGTGCAATACTATCCCTGCAGGGAGATAACTAGAACGTGAAGGAAAACAAGGAAGAGGAGAGTAGCCTTGTACTGAAGGGTATGTTATCTGAGGTTACGCAAAGCCTGGTGGAAGGGTGGGTTATAGCGCACAGTTCCTCTCTGTGCCAAGAAGAATGAAGTGGCCGAGTTCGGTTCAGATCTTACAGGGAAATTCTGTGCAGCTCCCAGAGCGTCTTATCAGAACAATCCAGACTCTCTCTCTGAACTTAAATTTATTATGAAGTCTAGAAGATAAAAAAGTGTTCAAATTATGAAAAAAAAAAGTTTTATATTCTGTTCTTTTAATTTTTTTAAATTGCCTAGTATTTTCTGGATTACTTTCACTATTCTATTTTAAATCTGATTATCCTCCTACAAATGATATTGTCTTGCCATATTACCTGCATTTAGTTTTTAATTTTACTAAGAAAACCAAGTCTGAACTAAGAGCAGATCTATAAAGCCAGAAGTAAGTAGGTAAGTTGAAATCCTGTAGTTAACTTACCTGCCCTATGCATTGAAGTCTGTGATGCCAGATCGTTTCTCATACAAATTCACATCACTGATGTCCAGCTGAGATACAGTGAGTAGAGGGAATGGACTTTTGACTTACACTCCCAGCAGAAAAAAAGGTATGAATTTACATTTAAAATTAAATAAGGTATTGAGGAAAGCTATATATATACTATCAGGAATTAACACAGGATAACAGTATTTCATACTAACCGTAATTAAGTCTTCTGAACATGTCCTATATTAGCAATGTTCCACTTAACAGAAGTCTTAAGACAAAACTTGCAGAAACAGTAATAGAATGATAGATCTGGTAACTGAAATCCAAAGTTATTTTTAATCATTTTTACCAGGAAATTACTGACTTAGTATGCACTTATTTACTAATATGTATATGAATGATTTTGCTGAGTGAAATGTATGTAAGATTAACTCTTAGGTCCATTAAGATAGCAGAATCCTACTGTGATTAAAACCACAGTGGATATCAGTCACTGAATGTCTGGAATTTGCTGTTTTCTATATGCAAGTTAGAAAGCTGTTTTGTTATTTGAATTTTGATACATCTAAAATAAAATAATTTCTTTAAATGTGGAATATCATCTCTCATGTGTCATTTCTATAGCATTTTGTTTTGTTACCCAAAAATGGAAAGTGGGCTATATTTAGTTGTACAGATTTATCAACTAGTGGTATCTCAGTTTCTTCTATATCAAAGAATAAATAACTTTGCCTAACTATTATGACTAATTAGAACAAATCATGCAGATTTTGTGATGTTCATTATCTTCACTGGACCCAAGTGTCCAAACTCCTGTGATAAAATTAGCGTCTGATACTCCACTGTGACCACAACCAGAGAAAGGCAGTAGGTAGCAAAAGCGGAACTGCTAAGCATGCCCACATAAGAATGTCACACTTAGGTAACAGAGTGTCCCTCAGGTCAGCCTACGATAAGAGCCAAGTCAAACAAGGCTGAATCCTTGATGTTTTGTGTTTTAAGTATCTGAAAATTGTTCACGACCAGCCTCGACCTACAAGACCTCAAATGATCATATGAGCAAGGCAATAAATTGGTGATCACTTGCCCTGAGGCCCATGTTGTAGTTGTGGTGTTGTGAAAGTTAGATCTACTGTTAGCCTGTCCACATAGCTCTGCCTACTTGTTCAGGCTTCACAGACGGGAAAATTTTATATTTACTTGTGCCGAAGGGGAACTATGGTGGCTGAATGGGCATGGCTGAAAGGCTCTGCATCGCATCAGTGTGGTCAAGTGGAGATGCACGGGAATACCACGCCGTCAGGAGAGCTGGGGAACCACTCACTTTCCAAAACTCCACACCTGAGCAAGATTTTGGCAATGCCAACACTTTGTAGCCCTGCAGTATTTGCCAAACATCCAGGACATGGCCTCCTGTCATGGGACAGACTGATTCACCTTCCTGACAGAAATCAGAAATGGAATGTGGTGGGCATAGCAGAAAACCGTTTATGTAGGAAAAGACACTCCAAAAATCATGGTATCCAGAGGAATGGACAGCAGCTTTCGCAATGCCGACATGCTTCAGCTTGGACTAGCACAATTTTACAGCCAGGCTGTACAAAAGCAAACCTTCAAGTCATGTCAAGTGCCCAGGAATACCTAAGAGAAGAAAAAAGGTGTAAAGGTAACTGGCATTATTATGCAGAGCACAGCAAACGCTGTATTAAGAAAAATACAAACAGCAGGTTGTTATATCTTTGCTTATGGTCAGGGGTTTGGCCATTGGTAAAAGCATTATTATGTGGGGGGTGTTTTCTTGTTACAAATTTTTTTTAATTTTTTTTTTTCCCAGCAGGGATAATTGTGATTTTTAGTATTCCTTTTTATTCAATTTAATAGCTTTGTGAAGAGCCCATATGACAATGTGATGAGTACTTACTGGGGGGTTATGTGTGATACCTAATACAAAATAACGTCTATTCCTTTAGCCCTTTAAAAATGTTTTTCTCTCTCTCTTAATGGTCTTGATAAGTTGATCAAACATATTTTCTGAACCTGGCCTTTTTAAGTAAAGCATATCCTTGATACATTAAAAATCCCAAAGACAAACTAAAGCATTCTTTTACTACTTTGAGGGTGTTCACCTCTCACCTGTGACTGTGGTGTTTGCCTTTGCTTCTTTCTTATTATTAACCATCCCCAAAGCCTCAGTAGGTGTATGTACAGAACCCAAATAAGTGGAACTTCTTGCTATGAATATTCTTTGCCTCAGCAGCCAGGAGAATTAACCGTTCTCTTCAGACAGCTTTTTTGTTCACATCAGCGCCACATTGAAGGAATTTGTTTTAAAAATCACACTTGCTTAGCTATTAGCACAAATTTAGTGCTTACGTTATTTTTATTCTTTTTTAAACTGGGATAAATAGTTCCTTCATTGTTCTTCGCCTGAAAAATAATTACTGCATATTGGGAGGGAGGGACTACAAGTTGTTTTCTTTTACTTAAGTCTTGCATCACTCTAGGAAGAAAGATTACAGTGTCAGGAAGGATATCACCTCATGAAAAAGTTAAACTGGTCTAAGTACCTGATTTCTTTAGATTTAGTTGCTCTTTACCTCAGAATGCCTCTTTGCTAACAGATGTCAGGTGTTGATCGCTTTAACGTCTTACTAAGGGCTGTCAGGAGGCTGCCAAACCCAGACAGTCCCGCCCAAGAGACTGTTAATTATGTTGTGTCAAGCTACATTAGCTCACTTGCGGCTCAGTTTTATTTTTGAACAAATGGAACTTCTTACCTTAAAGTATTCGTGGGGAGTTGGGGCAGGGAATGACTCGGAAAAGGTACACGTTTTAAGCACTGGTGGTTACTTTCTCAAGAGATAACCTGTGTAATTAACTGATGTCTGCTAACAGGGTCTTCCAGTGATGAGATATGGGGAGACTTAACAAATTGGGCTGTCTGGGTCACAGGTCTATAATTACTCTGTGCAATATTTGCTCAGAGACCATCTTAAAAGTTGTCAAACACTACTCAAGAATGTTGTTCGTTTGTTGACAAACCTCTTGAGGAGCAAATGCCTTCTGACAAGACCACGCACTACCTACGTGTGTCGTGAACAGTGCAAGGAAATAGTGCAAGAAAAAGCAAGGATGAACCCTTGAGGAGTCTTGATCGTGAAGGAGCAAGCTCTGTTCTCTTTTAACCAAATTTATTCCAAGTGTCAAATATTTTCAGGGAGAACTGGGTTTGTAGTGAATCTGAACATTTCAATATAAACTATGACATTCTTTGTTATCCAAACAGACTAATGAGTCTGAAGTGTTTCAATAAAAGGCACATCACACTGGCATTTTATGAGTCACGTACAAATTTAGTGGCATGTCATAACCGAGGTACAGCAGGTTTTGAGAGAGAAGCAGTTTTAGAGGAAGAAGGAACTTAATACATATTGAGAAGGGAAGTGTGCTATTGTGTAAATAAGCTTTCCTCAAGGTTTAAACCAGGGGCAGCTAGTCTGAAGCTTGATGCATCTGTTGCAAACCCAAAGAAATTATTTTATGCCAGAAAGCTTTAGCTCTTTTTTCCCTTGGCTGTATCACTTGCTATAATAAATATAGTGTGGATAAAATGACAATTTTAATGTTTTTGGTTCCACTGAGACATACTCCAGGAACCGTCAAATGCTATTGTAACTTTACAGCAGTAGAATTTTGTAATTCTACATGCTTTATGATTTAGTCACAAGTAGACTTTTCAAAATAAGATAAATACTATATAGAGGTCATTTTCTGTTCTTGTGAGTGCTCAGTATTATTTTGGATTCTGATGCTTGAGGTTTTCTTTCTTGGCTTAATCTGTAATGCTGCTATCCATGAGGGTTGGAACTGATGGGATGAGCTGATACGTAGATTCCTCAAACAGTAAGTTTGCGTAGTCATATTTTTGAGGCACCATTTTGAGTCTCTGATCATGGGGCGTAAAGGGGAGGAATAAGGTAGTGTAAATACATACATTAAAGAGAGGTGGTAACTCGTCATGTAGGCACGGAGATAGCTGTATTTGACAAATGATGTGTGTTGCAAAAGCCACATTACGTATATCTGCTCAAAAGCTGTCACAGTTCTCGGTATTTTTTCCGTTTTCAGTATATAGGGGCTGTCTGGGATATCTCCCATGTCGTGTGGTGCGAGTCCTGAAGGTGCAGATATGCCTTCTCCTTGAAGAGCGGGGATCTAATGTTTTTTCCCCTGTAACCTTCATCAGAAGTGGCCAACAGAATGCAGGCAACAAGAAAATCTGTAAATAGGAAATACAACGGTTATTTTGTAACATGTAAAAGTATGTCTTATAAAACGAGGAGCTGATAATACAAGTGTACATAACTGTGAAGGGTTTAGAAAGGTACGTTTAATTTTTGCAACAACATGTGCAAAAATTTCTTGACCAAATCCTGCACTTTTATTTGTCTGTGTGCATGAAGCGTGACCACAACCAACGTTAAGATCCTTCCACGAGGTCCTTCAGAAGCGGCTCTCTGCCCTGACTAATCTGAATGCTCTGCAGTACTTCCCACGTACCGGCGCTGCCGACTCTTTTAGAAGTGGCACATAGGGGCCCTACCTGCAGTGCTGAGATAGCCAGGGCGCTAGACCAGAGGTGCACAGTTTGGAAACAGTCAGGTGAATATGACTCTTGCAGGTAATATCCCACCTGCGCATTCACCCAGGCAGCCGCGGTACACAACAGGAGCGGATTGTGCTGGATGGCGCTGCTTTTTTGTGCGTCGGGGATCTCGGCTGGTTTGGGGTTTTCCGCCGGGAGGATCATCCACAGGAATGCTGTCTTGCCTTAACATTTTTGAGGGTTCATTTTGGTGGGGTTTGTAACAAAATCACAAGAAAAGTGCAGCTTAGTGGGGCATTTGATTGTTTATAATTAAAAGTTTTAGTCAAGAGTTTTTAAAAACGGGATTTCTTCGAGTTCTTCATCAGGAGCTGCATGGTCTAGTTTAAGGCAGTCTCTCCTGCAGACACCTCCTTTCAGGCATCCTCGGCCTGACTTCTGCCCTCCCAGTGCGTCACATCACTGACTGCGCTACCCTTACTTCTGATTTACACCAGGGTGAGTATTTCAAAACCTTTGGGGCATTCAAGACTCATGTTCAGCAAGTAATTTCTGCTTTTTTTTAATTCAAAGAACTGACACCTCAGACTGCGAAGGGTTCAGACTTTGGATCCTCTTCTGCTGCAGTATCAAAGTTTCTGTTTTATCACTGGCCTGTTTGCTCGCACTGGAGGTTTTATTCTAGCGATTCATTTCCATGTCTTCCCATAATCAGACACCTGTGAACTAGTAAAATTCCAAGTGCGATACTACGTTGCTGAAGGCATTGAAAGCTCAACATGACATGATTTAAAGACTCTAATGTTCAAGTCAGAATACAAGACAAAGAAAAGTTGTTAATATTATTTTCTACTCCACTTTCAGACTTCTGATAAAGACCCCATCTGACTGTTTTTTATCAGATAATTTAATTCAAACTGGTACATGAAAGGGACCTGCAGGATTGGACCCTAAGAGATTAAAACATTTTAGGAATATTTCAATTTTAACAGGGATGCTAAATCTTTGCGGTGTTTTTTGAACTGATTTGTTTCCAAGGGAACAGCAATCTGCAGTGCCATAAACCTCTTTAATGTTAGCACATTACAGGTAAGGAACCCCCATTCCTTAGCAGTGTTTATCATTATTTTTTTTTGTCAGAAAAGGCTCTCATCCATTTTTCTTTTTCTCCTCATTTTTCACCGTTTAATGTAATTTAATTTCCTGGCAGTAGTTCCAGTAAAAGTAGTACATGTGACACATTCTGAAGCATTATTGACATAGCAGTAGAAAATAAAAAAAATGTTTGAGGGATTTATTTTGGAACAGAAAGTAAAGTCACAGGCTGTGCCACATCGAGATACCATATCCTCAGGTGCCATCCTGGCTGCCAGGGCTCTGTCTACATACGGTCTCAATTCTGTTTAGCTTTTCAAAAATCAAATTGGGGGGGGGAAAGAACAAGAAAAGAGAAAATTCATAGGGATTTTGACTCATCTGGCAGAACAAATCCACATGAGGAAGAATTCCCGCGGAGAATTTAAAGCCTAGTTCTCTGGGTGGTGTAACAGTATGTAGGTATTCTGCTCTGCTAACCTGTCAAACCCAGCCTCACCTCTGTGCGAGCTCTCGCGTAAATTCCCGTCAGCTGTACCGGAGAGCCTTCTGTGGTAAATGAACAACCCACGTATTGCACTTGGGGAATGTTTTCTTTCTGGGGAGCGTGGAGAAGTAAGCTTGGCAGGTGGTATGTGTTACATGTGTACGTACTACAGTATTGCCAGCCCATCAGATAAATGGGTACTGTTTGGGGGGGTTCTGCCTAAACGAGTATTGCAGAGTTTCTTAGGCAACACGGGCATGTTTTTATGAAGTGCTGAATGTCCATTCTTGAAAAATCGGATCTTGCCTAAGACATCCTTTATATCACGGATAAAATCACCATCTGTAAAATCTAGATCATGGGCCTGAGCTAAAATGAAATTTAACTTTTATTGTGTGCTTTCCCACATTGTATTTCACAATGCTGTTTGTTGAGTTAGACCTTTGGGAAAAACAGCGTGGAGAATGAGGGTTCATTT